ATCCTGCTTTTACATTCTTCCTAGTTTGGGACTATAGAAAACAGAGATGGTCCGAGTCCCAAGAACCTAAAACAACAGAGGGCAAATAGAAAACCCACGGACATTCAACCCACACCCAAATGCTAGCTCAATTCCAGTGGAAGAGCCAACATTCATTGCACTGATCCTGACAGGTCCAACATTTATCACCAGGTTCCATCAGTGTGTCAAATACAGCACCAGATATTCTACCTTCCTGACTGCAACACACCTGAAGATGGCTAAAACCAAATATAACCATAATATCTAACAGCCCTGTACAGAAAGCTGACCAGGCATTTTAGCCATAAAGAGTCTAAGCAAGAACTCTGCAATCAAATAGTCCAACTGGAACATTTCTTGTATAACTGGATTCTCAAAAATGTATTCTTGGCATTCACTATCTATCAAAGAACCTCAACAGTCACTTCTTAAGTCAGAACTGTCCTGTCAACCATAAAAGTAGCTTACCTGCCATTCAAATTCACTGTCTGACCAATCCCAGTACGTGCTAATAGAAGAGGAGACATCACTGCACACACTACCTTCTGGGAACAGATCAAAAGATGTGAACTCCTGATCATCCAGCAGAGAGTAGCAGTCATCCTGGTCACCAGCTGACACAGATGAAAAGAGCTCTTCGCTGCATTCAGAGCTGGCAACACTTGTTCCACAAGAAGTCAAGTTCCACCTGCAAAACATGCTAAACAAATCAATGGCAGCTCTCACACAGTTTTCCCCTGAAAAAACACTTTGTCCTTTGAAAATATACATTAAATACCTATATCTGTATCCATTACACACGGGTTTTGCTGAAAGAAGTTAGTTCAAGCTGCATTCACATTGATGAAAAAGGTACAATCAAGAAAGAGTCAAGAATGAACACACACACAAAAAAGCCAGATGTAATTTGTGCATGTCCTGAAGACTTGCGTCCTGATGTTTCAATCAGATTTCCAAACAAAATGTACTTTTAAAATTTTACCATTTATTGTTTGTATTTTTAAACATACATAAGGAGTTTGATGAGCAGAATTAAAGACAAGGACACTAGGATACTAGATGGGGTTTAGCTTGTAAGTCTCACTTTACATTTGCTTAATATGGTAGTTAAAAGCATGGCAAGGTAGGGCTGTAGAGCCAGGTTGTGGCAGGGATTCCCCAGCTCTTCCCAGGTTTCAGCAGGCTGCCGCTGCATGCTGGGATCAGCGGCAGCACCGCAGTCTTCTCCATGCAGCTGGCCCCAGCCTCCTGAAATCCTGCATACAGATCAGGGGCCCATGCCCCGCGGGAAGAGCTGGGGAAATGATCAGAGAGCTGGGGAATCAAACTGGGAGCTAGATGCCAATATCAGAGCAGGCCTTCCCCCCACCTTCTTAGTTTTTGTTTCCCTGCAAGCCCGGCTCCAAAATTCTCCAAAACATTCCTGAAACGTTTCAGTCTTCCGGTTCACTTCAGATTGGATGTTTTGGGCACTGAAATGGCCCAAAACACCTCCAAAACAAAATGGCTGCTGAAATTTCACACAGCCCTGTCAGCAGGTAATTCTCATGTTTGGAAATCAAGTAAAAGCAAGACGTTCAAGGGATATGTGAGGAGGAAACATCTGAGAAACATTTATTTAATACTAGCAAACTGTCCGTCAAGAATGACCAGGGGCAGGGGGTGTCTCGCTCCACCCCGCTCCCCACCACTACTCTGGGTCCAGCCCTGCTCCATACCCCCTACCCGCCACTACTCTGGGTGCTGCCCCTCTCCATGCCCCCTCCCCACCTCTACTCCAGGTCCAGCCCCAAGTCTGTCTCACATCATTAGGTGTGGAAATCTTTCTTTCATGTGGCTTTAGGAGAAAGAGCCATTGTCACAGTTGTAATTCCAAATGCCCCAGCCAGACCAATGCCTTGCTGGAAAGCAAATGCGACTCCAGGATGTCACCCTCAAACTTTTATCTGGGGCAGGATGTTATGTGCGCCGTGGTTTGGTCAGGGTTTCCACAGTCATAGCCAGGTGAGGTTTTTAAGCGCCACTTGCACATCAGGTAGCCATGCAGACCACGTCCACTGCGTATCCTATTAAGGGATGTCCACATGCTCCGGGGAAGGCTGAAGCCCAGTGATTGCATTGTTGGGTCAGAAATAAGGTGTTTATTTGGGAAAGTGTTTTCTGCCCAAGCTTTCCTCCAAGATTCTTCAGTGTTGTGGTATAGGAGGTGCTTGGTTTTTGTGAAATCATGTGACGAGTTGGGAGATCTTGAAGGTCTCTGTGGATGGGAAGGTCCACATTACTACTGAAACGCATTATTTCTCTGTATTGTATGTTGCTGCATCTGGTCGAATCAAGGGAGGAGTAATGTTTGAAAGTACCAGTAGCCATTGCACTAGAATTGATATCCAAGTTCCAGGGATAGTCCTCATTACTGAGTCAAGCTGTGTGGAAACGGGCTGCCTAAACAACACTGAATGTGCCACTTCTTACAGGAAAGGGCTGCGTTGTGAAAGCACTGCTACTGTTTGCCATGCATACACTCCATGTACCATATTTCACAGCGTATAAGTCAAAGTTTGAAGCCAAAATATTTACCCTTAAACTTCCACCTTGACTTATACACCATATCAACGCAAACCTGAACGCCACACTGGTGCTTTGCTGCACCCAACCCACAGGGAGGCGGCATACTGGAATCTAGGGGCTTCCCTGGCACTGACTCCACCCATGCCCAACACCCTGGAGCCAGTCTGGGCGCCCAATCCCTGTGCCTGTCAAGTCTGGCCTGGGGACACTTACCCATGGCTGCCCCACGGGTAGAACTTGGCCAGAGGAGTGGAGCCACTGCCTGACCATGCAGGAGCCACGGCACTGCCACCAGCTGCCAGCAGTCCCAAGGTGCAGAGCACCAGGAGCAAGCAGCCCGCTGCCAGCAGCCCCAGGGCACAGAGTAGGACCAGCAAGTGGCAGCAGAGTGGTGGGGTCAACTTATACACCAGATTTACAAAAAACCTAACTTTAACAGGAAAATGGGGTCAACTTATATACAGCACAGACTTGTACACCATGAAATACAGTACTCAAAAAACTAGATGAAGACAAGAATGGAATTCAGAAGGTGTTTGCTTGCCAAAGCAGAGCACCTACAACAAAGAAAAAGTGTCTCACATGAGGATTACTTGAAATTTAGATACACAGCCCTAGTAGACAACAGGGATAATGAGCAGCACACCCAGGGAACAATGTTAAGCATAAAGTGGTTTCATTAAATCAAGACAAGCTATTAGACACTAGTAGTCTAAAGATGTGACGCTCTAACTCAGTAATGACTAATTAACTGGGTGAGGAAAGCTAAAAACACGCTGAGTTAAAAAAGCTCAGAAAGTCACAGGTACATCAGAAGGAGAGAGATCCATCAAGAGCTTAAAATAAGTTTTTTAGTTTGTGCAAATTCATGCACACATTGATCAGAAATCCACGAAACGCCTTCTGCTCGCATCACATTTGTTTTTATAGTAATAAAGAGCCCAAGAATGGGAAAGAAGTAAATGAATTCCCACCAAGTAAGGCATCACATTTGCAAATACTTATGTTGCTAGCGTGTCAACTTTCCATTATTAGCTATTGAATTAACTTATTTTAATGTAAATCCAACCAAATGTTGCCTTAGCCTGAAGGCATTTACAAAGTGTTTGCCACTTTTACAGGAAAAACCCTTGCCAACAAAGGGAATTAGATACTTCCATGCACAGGTAGGGAGGGGGGAGCAGGGGGACACGACAGGACGACAGACAAACAACGGGACGGGACACCCTTTTGCAGCTTTTAATGTTAGAACCATCACAGCTATTTTGGAGTCACACGTGGGGCCTGCAGGGTCTCCTGATGGGAGGTGGCAGGCAGAGCGCCATGTCCCTGCAGAAGTGCACAACGAGGCTCTTGGGTACATGGGACTGGTGTTCACCCACACCCTGGTCCTGAACCAAGCTGTTATGCCAGGACCTGGGTTCAGGAAGGCCTGTGCTCTACCTGTGCATGGTACCGAACACTGCTGTAAGGGGGGATCCCTCTGCCCACTTTGCAACCAGCTCCATGCCCAGGAGAGGCCCAGGCTCCTCCAGCTCTGCCCGCCTTGCCCATCTCCTCCACCTTGAGGCACTTGGCCTCCCCCCACCTCAGTCTACCCTCGAGGGTTTGTCTCCCTGCCCCCTGGGCAGCATCTACACCAAGGCAAAGGGCTCCACCAGCAACACCCCCTCAGTCAGCGCCCCTTTGAAGGCTCACAGGTGTAAGGCGCAAGAGCAGCTCAAGCGACTGCCCCCCCTACGTCCCTGCAGGGCAGCCTCCATTGCCCCTTCACTGCAATGGTCCAACCACAGCCCCAGCCCCAGCCCCCCCGCGACACTGCAATGGTCCAACCCGGGCACGCCCCCCCAGACACTACCATGGTTCAATGCAGACGCGACCATGCCCCAGCCCCCCGGCGCTGCAATGGTTCAATCTAGCCATACAGTGACCACCATATAGTGACCACCGTAGCCCCCTACATGCTGCAATGGTTCCGTCCAATCGAGTGCACCTCCCTCCTCCCTGCAGCGGTGGTTCCGCCCGGCCGGGCCCATCCACGCGGGTCGGGCGGGCGGTACCTGCACGAGTGGAAGCGGCGCAGCGGGTCGGTGCGGTGACAGGACGAGAGCTGGCACCCGAAGTCGCTGCCGTCCAAGCAGCCCTCCTCGCTCAGGCTGAGGCCGCCGCGCGGGCACGGCTCGTCCGGCGCCAGGAACTTCTCGTACAGCTCCTCGGTCATGGCGGCGGCGCTATCCCGCCCGCCCGCGGGCCACAGCGGGGGCAAGGGTGCCGGTGCCAAGCTGCCTCCGCCGCTTCCGGCTCGGGGGGCGGGGAGGGGCGCCCCCTGCCGCGGCGGCGGGGAACAGCGGTCGTTGCCGCGCGCATGCGCAGTGCCCAGCCCCGTGAGAGGGCCCGTGGGACTTCCCCCTCGTCCCCCGCCCCAACATGGCGGCCGCGGGCAAAGCGGCGCCGCTTCCTTCTCGCGACGGCGACCTCGGCGGCGGCTTCCTGGGAGCGCGGCTGCCTGCCGCTGTGGGGGCCATGGCTCGTAGCCTCCGCCAGCTGGACCGGGACACCTTCCGCCGGCTGCTTGCAGGTACGGGCCCCCCGTCCCCTCCCGCGGGGCAGCCAGCCAAGGAGCAGTCACCGCTGTGCAAAACCGTGTTTGTTTATTACAAATTAAACCAAATATAACACTATATATAATATAATATTCTGTGAACATTTTTTTTAGAAATGTGTGCAGGCACGTTGTATGGTTGTGCGGGTGCATGACTGGGGGATGCGTGGGGATGGCGTGTGGATCGGAAGCTGTGAACCATCGGGCCGGGCGGCTTCAGTGCCTCCGTGTGGGGTGTCCAGCCAAGCCCCATGGTGTGCGGCTCCAGGTCCACACACCATCAGACTGGACCGGGCCAGCCCTCTGCAAGGGGCCTCCAGGAACTGCGTGCTGTGGCGCTGGGCGGGCTCCAGGCCTCCACACGCGGCTTCATGCTGGAGTGCTGGAAACCGTGAGCCCAACGGTGCACAGCCCACGCGCACCCACATACACACCCATGGCCATCCACAAACACCCCACACGTTCCTCCACATCCACCCACAACCCCCCGGCCAGCCACACACACACACCAGTGCCCACCCACATATCCCCCCACACGCACCTACACATTCTTCCACACCCACCCACAAACCCCACACCCAGCCACACACCCATGCCACCCACAAACCCCACCATCCCCCCATGCCCACCTACACATCCCCCCACACCCAGCCAGAAACCCCCACACCCACCCACACATTCCTCCATACCCACCCAAAAACCCCATACCCAGCCACACACAAATTCATGCCAACCCACAAACTCCACAGGCCCACACATTCCCCCCACACCCACCAACATATCTCCCCATGCCCACCCACAAACTCCACGCCCATCCTGCTCTCCTGCAGGCAGGAGCTCCCCTCCCTACTGTCCAGTCACGGAGCTCTGTGCCTCCACGTCGTGGAGGTGGAAGCACAAAGCCTACTGTGGTTAAATTATCCAAAATTATGCAGTTATGCATGGTCATGCCTTTTATGCACAAAATTGCATGGGCACGTAATAATTGCAAAATTCCCCAGGGTGTAACTTAGGCTTTGCTTGCAGGGACCCTGTGTTAGCAGCTGTGAAACTGGCTTTGTCATAGCAGCACCCAAGCTAACTAGTAGCAGCTTACACGAGGCAGCTGGGCAGTTTCAGGGCTGCCAATCCCTCAACGCCAAGTCCTGAAGCGTGTTGGTATGTGCATACTCAGGGCAAGTATGTGACTTTTCTCAGCCTTGTGGTTATGCACTTGAACTGACTAAGCTGCCCTCCCTGAACTCCCACTCTGGTTGAGCAGCAGTCTTCTTCCTTGTGTCTCCAACCCAACCTTTCTATAATGGTGTGTTCCCAATATTCTGCCCAGGCCACTGCTTCTCGTGTTGGTGTTGCGAAATCTTGGGGTATGTTGTGGTGCTACAGGGCATCTCAGCAGATGATCCGTGGTTTGCTTTTCCTGACAAACACATTGATCAGTTGTGTAGAGGCCCCGTGATTTCATGAGAGAGTTGTATCTTCTGAAAACCGCTCTCAACCTTTTCAGGCTCTGCCATGTGTGCAATTTGTAGTTGGAGCCGGATGCTAACTCCTCACGGGGAGAAATTCCTTGCCAACTCCATTCAACAGCTTCATCCCCTCGTTTCTCCCATTCTTTTTGCCAGAGGGTAGTTGTGGCTGGTTCTGGTGTGGTCAAAAAGAGGACAAAAAGCTATTTCTCAGTGAGAGATGACAGGGCGCTGGTTGATGTCCGTATAGCAGGTGGTGGTTTTGCACCTGCCAGTCAGTGTCGCCTGCTACTTTCCTCCTGCGTAAGGGGGCGCTGTATTGGATAGCACATATAGGCAGGGAACAGGAGCGGGTTTTAGGCAGCCTGTTATAATTCTGCATGCATTATTTAGGGCAGTGTCAATATGCTTACTGTGAACAGCAGTGGTAAAGATTTAATGGTGCATCCAATCTGCAATGAATCCTTTCTACTGCAGGGGGAGCAAGCAAACAATCTTTCAAAGAACCTTGAAATGAAATGGTGTAGACAGCATCCCGATGCTTCCTAGACTGCTGGTGTATCTCCACGTACAAGCAGTGAAAGCAAGCTGTTGGGAAACGAGCAGAGCAAGCATGAGTCTCCCTGAACCACCTCTGGCTTTGGCTGGCATATAAAAAGCTGCTATGTTCTGCAAGCCGCAGTTCTGTCAAAGGATTGGCAGCTCATAAAGGCACAGTAGGTTTTCGAATGTATTGTGCTGAGTATCATGGTTAACCTCCACATGACAAATCTGTAGACAACTCACACATCAGGGTCTTGGGGGTTATCTTCCTAGTGGTATTACAAGGCCCGTTGAATAATTAATTTCTCTGTGAGCACACAGGAAGGACATATGACCCCTGACTCACTGGGTATGCATTCTTGGCTAGTGCACTGTATGTTATAAAAGAGAACATTTGAAGACAAAAGGTCACACCGTTCAGCACTGGGAAAAGCAGTTTTTTCACTTGTTGGATGACTTGTTTGCATCTCATTATTTGTTAGATTAACTGCTGTCTGTTTGGCCTCAGATCAATTCCTAGACCATATCTAGAGGAGGAAAGCAGGCTGTGTTGTTTTAAAATATTAGCTCTTGCTGTGACTGACAAATTTTTGGAACAAGGTGTTTCATTTCTAGATTGGACAAGTTGGGCTTTAAAAACATGCTTGCTTGATCACAGGCAGATAACACATTTTAAGACTTGTTTTATTTTCCTAATCTAGACATGCACGTAGGTTAGGAGAGATGATATCACAAGAGACACCTTTGTTATTAGTGTGAATAAGAAATCTTTCTAAGCTACTTCAGCAAAAGGGGCATCTTCCCCTTTCTTACAGGCAGTCTTTAGGGCTAAGCTGTTTTCAGGCATTGTGGGAAACCTTTTAGAGGTGCTGGCAAATCTGTATCAGATTTATCCTGCAGATAAATGTGGAAAATGTCACTCTCCAGCTCTGACCTGGAAACTTTCATTGCAATTAAAGTACACTTAAAAGCATAAAAAAGGAAGTATATTTATCCAGGAATAGAAGCTGGTGGTGAGTGGAATCCATTTAATACCAAGAGAGAGAGTGGCAGCTCAATTTAAACTTTTTTTTTTACCTTACCATGGTTCCAGTCTTAAGATTCAGTAATGTCTCCTCACCATTTTTACTGTTTCATGTTTTATTCAGAAGCCTATATCTGGAGCATTATAAGTCTCTAATTTAAGGCCCTGATCCTGCAACTGGATCCATGTGGGCAGACATTCACCTTTCCCAGTGGCGCATCATGTGGTTGCAAAAACCTACCCATACATTTCACAATGCAGGGAAGAGGCCTACAGGAGAGGCAGAAAAAAATGTATACAGGCCCATCTTGTTCTTTTATAAGCCATTATGTGTATGAAATGTGGAAAAATAATTACATTATGAAGGTTGAGGGGAGCCCAGAGCAGTCCAGATACCAGTGTCTCTGATGCAGCCTAGCAGTAGTACAGACTGCTCTGGAAATGTACTTGGTATTGACAGAGCTAAAGAGGCAAAAGTTTACCTTGCTCTTCCCCTATTCAGTCTTTAGCCTCCACTGAGATTGCAACAAGGATATCATTTGTGACCCAATCCTATCAGAATGCTGATGAAAAGCAAGTTAGTTCTCTCAGTCCCACTCCCAAGGAAACATGAGCCGGGGATAAGCCACAGGATGTGAGTGACTTGGCAGTCACTACACCCTCAGTCAGGTCTAAGCTGGCCAGCTAGCAGTAAAATCTCTGCATCCCTTCTCCAGTTCCTTGAGTAACCATCCTTTCCCACTGCATATCTGACAACTCCTTTCTAAAATGCCCCTCCTACATGATCAGCCTGAGTTGCCATTGCAAAGCATTGAGGTCAGACTGACCCAGCAGATGATGACTTGTGCTTGCAAAGCCTAAGAGTAATAGCTTAATAGCAGAGGGGATAAAGGCCAGCCTTCTCATCCAAACCAAATTTCGAACCGTATTTGTACTTATTCCCACTCCCAGAGTTTTCCCCTCTTTAAAGGAGTTTCCTATTCATTTCTTTGTTGCAGTAACTGTAAGTGCATTGGAAGGAAATGATTGCAAAGACTCTGTGCAGAGGATTGCAGAAAATGCCGATTTGTCGGAACAGCAGCTTGCTGTCCTCATCTCAGGCATGTACACGCTCCTCAGAGAAGCCTTGCGCCTTCCTCTACCAACTTTCAAACAAGAAGTAAGTACTAAGAGTACTTGGTAAGTATTTGGCAAGTTCAGGTTATGTCACTTGTGAATTACTATATAAACTCATAAGCAGGGGGACTTAGCTTGCAAAGGTGAAAGTAGGTAGGAGGAACACTGCTAGGAATGCATTTACTGTTGCTGATCTGTATCTTGTCATTCTATTTTTTTTTAAAAGCCCTGAAAAAAGTCTAGATTTACCAGCTGCTCTTGCAGCACAGCATTTAGATTATAGGAAAGATTTATGTGTGTTGTTTTCTACTTTAATATCTTACATTATGGTGCTGTCATTGTGCTTATCTCTTTTGCTCTGTTGTATGGCAGCCTCTCGCCTCCTTTTGTTTTTAATTTGTACTTTCTCCTGGCATCTGTTTTCTCTGCTTCTCAATAATCATTTATATCCACTAAATATATACCAAACTGTGCTGCCAGTTTGCTTTTCCTTTCTTTGGAGGAAGGCTGATCCTACTGCAGCAAGAAGCATCGGATACAGGCGCTGTCTGTTCTTGGTTCTGCCACAGATGCCCTCTGTCAGTTTGAACAATTCTCCCTGCCTTGTTCCCACCATTATTCTTTATCACCTTGTTGGTTTATTTCCATTCTCTTTTGTAGCTTTTAACTTAAGTTTTGCCTTTTCTTATGTGTTGTTTTCTGATTTAATGTGCTGCCTATTAGGCCTGTGTGAGTCAGCAGCGATCCGATCTGGCTTCAGATCCAGCCACTTCAGATGGCCTCGATCCGATCCAGAGCTTCAGACCGGGTTTCTACCTTGATCCCACTGAAGTAGCTCCGAAGCTTCGGAGCCACCTCGGACATCTGGCCATAGGGTACAACAGGGAAATCAATGAAATATCTATAACTTTGTTGTTTTTTTGTCCGATTTGGATGAAATTTACAGGATTGGTAGCCTCTGCTGAGAGCATGAAACCTGCAAAGTTTCAAGAAGATCACTGCAGGGGTTTGGGAGGAACTATACGCCAAATTCATGAAAACCAAACTCAAGTCACGGCTGTGTGCTACAACCCAAGGTGTTCAAAACTTCAGGGCTGGTAGCTCTTACTGAGGCCACAAAGCCTGCCATGTTTCAAGGAGATCAGTGCAGGGATTTGGGAGGAACTGCACCCCAAGCTGTGGACAAGCAAAACTCATGCCATGGGTGACACTGTGTGCTAAGGTGCAGCGGGGTGACAGCTGCAGGGATGGTGGCCCCTGCTGAGGCCACGACAACTGCCAGCTGTCAAGGAGATTGGTGCAGGGGGCGTTCTGGGGCTCTGCACCCCTAGCTGCTGACAGACAAAACTCATGGGAAGACTGTGTCTGTCTTGGGGCAGTTGATTGTCTGTATTGATTCTTTCCTCTCCTTAGCCTGGTTGTGTAGGTGCTAATTGATGGCAATTAACCGGCTACATTAGCTAGGTCCTGTGTATTGAGCTGGTCCCTGAGTGAATCGTGACTGATTGCTTGGTAACTGGGAACACAGCAGCTTAGCAGTCAGGCCTGCAGCAGTGTCTCCCTTCCCACCCCAAGACAGACACAGTCAGTCCCACAAGCACCCATGGCACCAGTTTTGCTTGTCCCCAGTTTGAGGGGCAGTTCCCCCCCAAACTCCTGCACCAATTTTCTTGAAACTTGGCAGGCTTCGTGACCTCAGTAAGAGCCACCACCCCTGCAGTTTTCACCCTGCTATGTTTTAACACCTAGACGTGACATGAATTTTGCTTTCAAGAATTTGGGGTGCTGTTCCCCCCAAACCCCTGCACCAATCTTCTTGAAACTTGGTAGGCTTCATCCTCTCTGCAGAGTCTACCACCCCTGAACATTTCATCCAAATCGGACAAAATCCAACAAAGTTATAGATATTTTATTGTTTCCCCATTATACCCTATGGTGGGATCTCCGAGGCAGCTCCGAAGCTCTTCAGGAGCTCTGAACTGCTTCAGGAAGCCTAATGAGGCCAGTGCTTTGACCCAGATGTGCTGCTTCAGACCCCAAAATGTCTGAAGCTTTTCCAGATCCGAAGCTCTGTCCAAAGCCTCGCACAGCCCTACTGCCTGTATTAGCTGTCTAGTACCCTGCTATCTGCACGTTCTTTTTATCTGTCCGCAACCAACACCAGAAAGTGACCTATCATTGTGGTTGTAATGTGGTTATGCTTTCAGTATTAAGAGCTTATTTTTTGCTACCACTGTTTTGGTCTCGCTGTAAACAAAGGCCACAAAAGTGGTTGCAAGAAAAGGAGCACATAATTACTCCAAAAGGAGTATTATTAGCTAGGTAATAAAGAAGGAAAGAGGCTGGCCTTAAAACTAAAAGGTGAAGTCTTCAAAAGTTTCCAAGTGGTCTAAGAACAGAAGTTTCACAGAAAGTTGATTTGTGCTGCTAACTCACTTAGGCATGTCTAAAAATCCTATCCAGCCAGCATCCTTTCCACTGTTTCTGCCCTAATACAATTTTTGGGAGAGCTAGTAAGCAAGTAAACATTTTTGTTCTGGTAAAAATGTTAACAGTTAATCAGTTTTCAGTTCCACCTGGTATAACATGGCTCATTCTTCATCTTTACAGGTTTTTAAGGAAGATCTGAAGGATCTCAGGTTTGTCCATTTATTCACCTATTTTGTTTCCTGTAATTATTCTTATACCTGCTTTCCTAAAGCGAAACACACTGCTGTCATCAACTTTGTCCATGTTTATACACACATTGTATGAAATTTGCATATAATATTTTTCCCAGTGAGGTCATAAAAAGCCAAGAGAAATGATCAGATGTTGCATAAGCAAGCTGTGATCTGGCACTGATCTCGTGCAGCTAATTTCACGTGCTGGGCAGACAGAGTGATTTAATCTTCAGTGTAAATTATGCCATTGTGACCAACCCCAAAATGTCACCACCTCCCCATGTAGGTTAATTTTTTTGTTTGTATGTTTGGTAAGACAATGACACTGATTCAGGAGCTGAGGAGCTGGCCTACTTTTTTTTGTTTGTTTGTTTGAAAGGACAATGGTATAACACTCGTGAAATCCTGCGCATTATCTGCCTGCAATTGCTTGTGCTAATTAGCCAGCAAAGCATAATGCTTGTCACAAAGACTTAACCAAAATCTGCATTGGCCTATTCAGAGTAGTATCTCTGTATAGGTTAGGCCCTAAAAGCTAGTTCTCACAGCACAGTAATCTCTGTGTTTAGTTGCTGAGTATGGCAATGTAGAGGAATAAGAGAAAATGCAAGCTATGCTCTGTTTTTTATACCTATATTTTGTGCTGCTATGTTGTGCCTGGGTCTTGCGTGCTTTACAGATGTTCACTCAGCACTTTGATCTCTGGCTTTTCTAGCCTCTAACTGCCAGCAATCCCAGCTTGGCCACTGGAGTCCTGCCTACCTCGAAGATCTCATCTAGCCTCCAGTCTATCCCTCAATTGTATCTTTTAAGCTCCCAGCCCTCTACCATCTCCATGCCACTCTGTGCTTTGGGACCTTTTCATCAAGGCCAACTTGTAGCCCTTGCTCCTTTGGACATTTCAATAGGTCCTTTTTTTTAAAAAATAAAAAAGAAAGAAAAATACAAAGCTCTGCACTCTGGTGATATTTGACTTTCCAGTCCTGGATTGTCTGCTGTGTCAGGCAGCACAGAATGAGCTTCTTTTCTTCTTTATTTTATGCAGTGAGTGCATTCAGTGTGTCAAAACAATAATAATGAAAGTGCCTTCTCCTCTATTGGAGGCCTCCCTCTGTGAAACCTTCCTGCATATCATAATTCAGTCTCAGAATCAGGAAGGATCAAGGGGTACTGACTTCCAGGCCTCTGCTCTCTCCATGCTGCTCCTGCCTCCTCCTTGTGCTTTTCCTTCCACTAACAGTTTAATCATGTTGTTAACAACAGGAAGGTCTTTGTGACTCAGCCCAAGCCTCTCTTGTTCCAGAAAAGCACAAGAATAGTGATACATGTATCTTGTTGCTGCTGTTAACCTGGTTGGCAGAGCCTTAGATATACGCCTGTCTGTTCCTTTATGCTGCCCTCAGACCTTGAAACTGATGCTGCTCGTTAATCTCTGGCACCTTCCTGTAATTCTAATAAGCTTGGGCCAGCTTAGTCCTAGCACTTTCCGAATGATGAATGATTTTTTTTCTGAAAGCTGTTGCTGCTCACCATGAAGACAGTTTGTTTTCTTTTTTAAACTGAGCAAATAGCTTTGTTCAGCTCACAAGCATGTTTCAGGCATGCTAGCTCTTTGCACACCTGTGATTGATTGGCATGGGAATGGCATTGCCTGCGTACCTGGTCAAGAGACAAATTGCCTATGTGCTTTCATGGGCACTCAGAAATTTCTCCATCTGCACTGACTCTCTTGGGGCGCTGAGCCAAGATTTTCCAATAGCACCAGGATTATATACATGAGGAAGACCTGTATTTGACTGAGAAGTTTGTTTCCCTGCAGTGAGGCTGAAGAGTGTTTTGGCTGGAAACAGACAAGCAAAGGTCTTGAAACTGAGCAGGTCAGCAGCTGGCTTCATGCTCTTTAGGCCCTTACAGCTGGTCCTGGCCTCAGCACTTCTACTGGAGGAGGCAGCAGGGTGAGCGAGCCAACTTACAGCTCATTGTGTTGCTGCTGGTGGCTTCCCTGGTGGTCATGCAGTATCAGCACGCCAAACATATATGGTTTTTGCAGCGGGGACAGTAGCCGTCTCAGTTTTTCTATCAGTTTTGCTTGGCAGGAACGGAGGCTGCTGCATCAGTGGGAGTGAGGCAGGGAAGGTTCTTGTATGCAAGCTGGCAGGCAGTCTGGGAACATGGGATAAAGGCGTCCTCACATTCTCCCGCTGTCTATCAGTTCCTCCTCCGTGCATTGTTTTTCATCAGATGGTTTGAAAAATGATCACTGTCTTCATCTCTGCCTATGTGCTGTTGGACCGAGTTATTCAGCCTGTGACTGAAGAAGCATGCAAGCTGCTTGATCCAGTGCTGGAGTTCATAGGCCAGTGGTTCTCATTAAAATAACGAGTTATATTGCAGAAAGAATGCAACTGCAAAGGTGGCATGGCTCTGATGGCATGTTTGTGTTTGTGAGGACTACTCAATGCTCTGAGAAATACTACTAGGGCCCCTTGCAGAGAAACAGCTGGAAGAAGGGGGTTGTAGTAAGTGTCTTTGTTTCTCACTGAGATGTAAGGCATGCAGTGCCTGCACAGATCAACAGGCAGCATTTACATTGTGGGGGTCATAGGAGAGAAAAAGTGTGCATCCAGCCAAACCAAAAAAAACTTTCTCATTCCACCCTCTTCTGTCTTGCCCCATTTGCCCACAATGGCCTGCCTGCTAGTATAAATCAGCCTTCTCCTGTGTCTCCTTTAAGAAGTGGTTTTAAACTCATCTTTTCCATTAAATTCCAAGCTGAGGGACATTTTCCCACTCTGGGAAAGTTGCTTATAAACATTTGCCTTATCTTCACCTCTGCAGACACCAAATCTGAGAGTTGGAACATTTCCTGTTTGCTTTGATCTTCTGCAGTAGGTAGTCCTGTATCAAGCCATTGTGCAAATGATTACTGCCTTGCTCCCCATGAATATGCATATTTTTAAGTGCTCTGACCCAGTCTCAGAGATTCCATTTGGTTTCTTTAGGTGCCCTTCTTTGTAATTCTTTCTTTTTTTTCATTCTGAGATGGAAGTGACATTGAAAAGAGGTGTTGGTTTGAATTTTTAAAGCACCTGGGTTTGGGCTAGTCCTGCTCCTGTTAAAGGCATTGCTCAAACTCTGTAGAAGAGTTAAGCAAATGTTAAGCACCTTTGAAATTCTTATGTGCAGTATCTAGCCATCTGCTGTATTGACTAAGGCTGTCCAAAGTAGAAGGGCAAGTTGGAACAGGTTTCTGAAGGCCCTGGGGAGGAAAGGTGGTGGAATTGTGGTGGAAGGGTTCCTTTCAGTAGGAGTAAACCAGGCTGTAAATGATTTACTTCAGAATCATTACTTTTGGCAATTCCAATCCAAAGAAAATATTAATTAAATGATTTTGAAGAGAGAGGAGAGTGTATCTCTGGTTGTAGAACACTTAAGTATTTATCTCATGCTATTGACCTTTTCTTTAAGGATACCAGACGATTTCATCGCAGACTTTGCCAGCATAGTCTTTGGTAACAGGTTAGTATTTTTGTAAATCCACTTGTATCCTCTGATCAAAGGCCTAAAGGTGTGTGACTAAAGCCATATCCCTGGTGAAATCAATGGCAAAAATTTTCAGTAGGGTCAGAGTTTTAACTCTGTAACAGACTCTGCTTAAAGTAACTGCTTATGTTTGTTAATGGCGCTGCAGAAAGCAGCTTTCCTTGTCATATTTAAATCCTTCTGCAGCAACATTCAGTGATATCCCACACATAGCAGCAGTCCAAATACAGAAATACCTATGCGTGTAGAATTTTTTAGAACTCCTGACTCCTCTTTCAGGAGTTCTGAAAAACTGGAAAGGTTCGGTTTCCCATCTCTCTAATCTGTACCTCTTTTGTTCAATATGATTAGATTTAGACAGTACCTATCATTTATGTTATAAGTTCCATGGATTTCAGGGGTTGTGTTTACTTCTGTGGCTGGTTAGTGAGGAGCATGTATGTCTGTAGCAAAATTAAAAATGATGATTTTAATTCAAAAGGATTTTCAAAGCATTTCAGAAGATTTAGCCACAATCTGGCCCCCTGCTTTAATGGGAGAGGTGTAGTTAAATCTCCTTTGCTACCTTAAAAATACAGCTAGTATTATCCATAACTGAGACCAGATGACAAATTTCCAAATCTTAGCTGTTGGGTAGAGTAGAGACCATTAGTTCCTTTGAAAAACCCCCAATGTTTTTAGTTTTGTACCTTAGCTTCCCTAAGTGTACAATGGGGGTTAGGATACTTTTTATACAGCATTTTCCACCTGTAGGTTTTCCTCCTCCATAAAGCAAGAGTTAAACATTAGTACTCTTGACGTGCTGGCCCTTACCCTGTACAGACAGTATTAGCTTATTCCATTCACCGTCTGCCTACATATCCCGTGTTGCATGCTGCAGTTGTTAGAAGCTTTTCTAGGAAAAGATCAGCCATCAAGCTTTTTTATAAAGTTGGCCTGAGAAGCCAAACCAGATGATTTAAGGATGCTGCGAAGGGTTAGCAGCCAGCATTATGGTAGTCAGAATGCATACAGTAGCTTAATAACTTAATGTGTTACATCAAATCAAGGATTTCAGCAACCTGTTTGCTGTCCCCCCTGCGGGGGTGGGGGGGTCCTTTCTCCCAGACAGATCTCCTCAGCTTTCCTCTCACATAACATCTCCCAGTATTTGTAAATGGCCTGAACTTGCATATGTGATCTTCTCTGTAAGAACTGTGGACAGCTGCATTTCCAGAGCCGCTGACGTTTTTTGTTTTCTTTTACAATATTGATTTTTTTTTTTCCTTTAGGCTCTGAGCTCGAAGTAAGGACTTCTTAAGATCAGGAATAAACCTTAGTTGTCTCTTCCTGGCTTCAGATTGCTGCCTGAACAATGCTATGTTAGAGGTGAAATGTTGCAGGAGAGGAGGCGTTGCACCATATGCCTAGCTACATGTTCTTTACCTTCTCCCATTGCATTGGAGAGCGTAGCTTTTAACTACCTAGAACAGGGGAAGGGACTTCTCAGACCTTGTATGATGCCTAGGCAAATCTACTGCTGAGTTCTTTGTATTCTTACTGAATTGCAAATGTGTGCGAGACACTTCAATGGGAATGGCCTCAATAGGGAGAAAAGTATCAGATTTTTGGTTGATATTTGGTCTGAACTAGATCCTTTAGAGGAATCTGTTTTGGTTGAACTGTCTTCCTGAGGCCTCTTGCCTTGCTCTCACAATTTTGCACATGCAGTGGCAGTTCCAAAACTTCTAAGAATTTAAAAAATTCTCTTTATGCACCTACAGCTTCAAGCTGCGTAGATGAAGCAGGGAAAAGAGCATATCACATTGGACTGACACTCGGATAAACTTCAAGAAAACTGCTTTTGAGAGGGCTTGGCATAGATTCTTCATCTTCTGATGTTTGTAGCAAAAGTAGCACTGTTTCATTTTTATCCAGGCACTGAAGTGTGAGGTCATGGCTTAGGGTGCATCATGTAGTCTTGTATCTGAGCCAAGGGTTGCCATACTGTGATTAGGCGCTCTCATACAAGAGCATAGTCCAAACCAGGCTTTGTATACGTGGTATGCCTGAGTGCCATGTCCTGAATGAGCTGTCTAGAAGCTGCTGTTTATTAATATTTACCTTGATGGGCTAGTCACTACATCTAACATTTGAAACTCATGTCAGACATTCCCCTGCTGTACTACTATGATGTGGCTGGAGTCAGGAGACCTGTTCTGCTAACTTATCATGCTGTTGCTCTGCCCATGTTGCCTCTTAAACTGACACCTGTGTAGCCACCCTAGCACTGTGCCATGAGCAGTTTGGGAGACAGCACTTACTAGCCCAAGCACTGCTCTGTATGAACGTGGCTGTGCTACTTGCAATTCAGGGGGTAGCACACGTAGCCTAGCATGCCACTACCTGGCATGGTAGACAGGCACTGATGGCTCCTTTGTGTGCTTGTGCATGATGTCCCAAGTATGATATGGTGTGTTCCAGTTTGCACTGGGCTGCCTCACTAATATGCTCCCAGTAGTTTCTGTGATCAGCATTGTGAGCTGAAAGTGCTTGGGGTTGTTGATGCATACTTCCTCCCAGAATTATATCCATCTAACTCAGTTATGGAAACAGGAGCCCCACTAGGAGCCATGAAGTCTCTCTGAAGTTAAAGGTGCCTTGATTAGCAGCCTTTGCAAACTCTGATTTCTCTATCCTTGCTGAAGCTCCATTCCTTTTCCCTTTGGCTGCTGTGTGTGTTCTGTCATCTTTGCTGTGGTTCTTAACACATCTGCTTTTCTATTCCAGCTGCAATTGTCATGGGAGGGAGGAGTTGAGGGCATCAGTAGAAACTGAGACAGAGTTGCAGGATTAATTTATAGTTAGCAGGACCCATCCCAACTGCTGGCTGTAGGGTGGCAAGTAAGGTTCTGGCAGTCCAGGACAAAGCTAAAGCTCTGAACTTGGGTTGAAATTTCCAAGACTTCTGGACTACTTTGGTTCGCATTATGCCTTTACTAGCACTCACCATTGCCTCACTCTTCAAGCTGCTACTGCATGACTGATTGAGAGATCCTTGGCTGACTGCATTGTATTCGAAAAGGAGGAAAGGATTAGCAGCATGACTATTTTTGAGGTATTCTCCCCAACTAGGCAATTCCCTGCAGCAGTCACTGCTGAGAGAAAGCCCATCCCTTTTATTTAATCCTGCGATGACTGTTTCTAGGCTCTGACTCCTCTTTGTTGCACCCAGCTGTTGACCTACTTCCTTTTCACAAGCTGAACATGGGTAAGAGCCAGCTGAACTATTTTCTCTGCCTTGCTTATGTCCAGGCCTGAAGGGTGTGTCTCGTTTTGGAGAAGGGGGAAAAAGTGGCAAATTCCTTCCTCTTTACAGTACTTGCTCTACAGACTTAGGCCTGTCACTGTTATCCACCTCTATCTGATAGCTAATTTCTTTGGGCAAATTATGAGCAGACATCATTCAAACTGTACACATGCATCTGAGGATAGACGATGCATCCAGAGCCTTGTTTGTGAATAGAGGATTCCCTCCTGAAATGAAGTCTGTAATTAGATTGTCTAATGCCATGGATAAAAAATGTGCCAGTCTTTATCTACCCCCTCTGCTGCAGTAGCCTTGAAATGGCCTGTAAATAACTTCTATAGGTACAAGGAGTTTGTGCCGTTCCAGGGGGGAAGAGTAGGTAACAAAAAATCCACACTAGCTCTCCAACAGTCCCATGGAATGACCTCATTCTCAAGATGTTTCTCTGCATCTAAAAAAAGAGAGTCGTTTTGTCTTCGTATCAGATTTGGCTTGTTTACTTACCCTGAGCTTAAGATGCTATTAAAATTTTAAAGGCTGTCATGCATCTGAAGTGTAATCACTGTCAACTGCATGTTCTTCCAGAAATAAACTCGGATGTAATGAGTTAGACTCCTGCTGCATAACGCCACGTGTAAGAAGCCAAAACCTTCACTTACTAGAATAGTCATAAGTCATAAAATCTGTTCTGTGCAAGTGTTGCACAAGGAATTTAAATCCCATCCACTTGACATACTCAAGCAAGAGCCCATAGATGACATTTTGCCACATGCTTCAGACTGTGCCCAGATGTCAGGATTATCCCCTCCTTATGTAAACCTAATGTTAATTGACACTAGGCACCCTTTGCTACTGGAGCACAGTGTGAGACTGCTGATGGGAAAGCACAAAGGGGGGCTGATTCATCTTAATTTTTATGCCTCGCTGCTTGAATACACTTTTTTTTTCCTTTCCTGTCTGCCTCACATGGGGATAAAGGTATATTTGCAAAAGCATCCCAGCTGGTTAGCAGTACCTTACCCTTTAAACATGCATTATTCCCACTGTGATTTCAACACTGGTCTTTCTGGTGGCCATATAACAATGTTACTGTGGCCTTGGGCTCGTGGCATTGCATACAGCAAGTCAAGAAATGCTCAGTTTTAAAAAAAAGCTCATGTCTAATCTGAGTGGAACAGGCAGTCCCTTTAAAACCCTTGAATTTGTTCAGACTGTTGTGAATGATGCTAGACCAGAGAGTGGAAACGTTCAGTCTTCAGCCTTACTGAGGGATTTTATTTTCCCTTTACATTTTCGTGTTGGGTATTTGCATTTTAATTGTCCTTTTCTGCTTTATCTTTCAGGCGTCCTGTTCTTGAAGCCACAACTCTGAAACAAGCAAATAGTTTGCCAAGAGTCAAAGACTTCCAGTGGAGGGTGGATGTGGCTATATCTACAAGGTAAAGGAAAAAATCAGTAAGTTGCATGACATTTGGAATGGTGTTCCAGTTTGAAATGCAGTTCTGGAGCTTTTTGTCAGGACTGAGCTATTATGAGTAAGTTGCATGGTTAGGTAACAAGCAAGTTAGATTTTATATGTGGCTGCTGCTGCTGCTTCTGTTTGCATCATTTGCTAATGTAGCCTTGCAATTTTATGCTTCATTTTAATTACTTTGGTTTCAAAAGTGTTCATACTTGTAGCACTCCTCTCAAGCTTTGGGGCCTCTTCCAGTATTTTTATAATGTATAGTCATTAAGAAATGTAATTAGTTTGCTTCCAGACCTCCATAAAATTGCAATCCACTGCTGTCCTTCCAGGCTACTAACTGTACCCTCTCTTCTCCCCAAATACCCATAAAGTAAAATTATCTTTGCAGCCTATGCAAAAGGTTAATGACTCTGGGTCCTGCTCGGCCAGTGTGAAAATAAAATAATGTTTTTTCTTTTAGGTTAGGGGCATCCTAGACCTAGCACATCAGCTTGCTGCAGTTATGGTAATATGGTGCAAGGCAATACAGGATGTTCCTCCAGTAAGCTGCACTCATCAGTTTGAGGCCTCAAAGCTCAAGGCCAGTGCTTTGTCCTTTTATAAGGAAGACCACAGACAAGCCCTCAGCATGTCCTGTTAACAATCAGGCTGTGTTTGGCTGCATCCTCTGACTAGTGCTAGGGTGATGCCCCAAGTGGACTGCATTACAGTTGTGTGAATCTCAGAGTATCAAAGGTATGGATAGATGTAGCCATTCCTCTTATGCTCCCTTTACCACGCACAAGTGGGAAAGAAAGACTCTCCATACTAGCCTAAATTGCATGCTCATTTACACTGAGTGGCCCTAGCATCCATTAGTGGAGTGGGCACAACTCTCTTTCTGATCATTTCCCTGAACCTCATCCAGTCATTTGAACTCCTGCCTCCTGTAGATGTAGGGTCATCCATTCAGCTACTCCAGTGGGACACTTGGTATCATTTTCACAGTGCTGACACTGTAGCTCAGGTTCCCCTCCTTCAGGAAGCCTGCTTGGCTCACCGAATGAGAACCATCCAAGCAGAACATTTGCAGGACTTGAATGCAAGCTTGCTCTTAGGTGGATAAACAATCAAATATTCTCTAAGGTCCTCTCCTATATACAGGAGGAAAGTCATTTTGGAATAGCTCCGTCTGTTCTTGCTAGGGACTCCAAGGCCTTGTGAACAGCAGCACCTCATCATTAGCCACACCCAAGGCAGCTGGCTGATCTTACTCAGCATGGACACCTCGTCTTCAGCTACAGCCAGGGAAGAGATAGCGACTGCTTTTTCAACTTCTATCTCATGTCCAAATTTAGCCCAAGCCTGGCTGGGCTCAGAGAAATCGGCTGCTAGGACATCACTTTCTTGATGATGATTTCCCAGTCTCACTCTGCAGCTGAGTCAGTCAGCATGATTTGAGCTAGACACCTGTAGGGCATCACCAAGAACCTAGTCGTCTACCCTTCATGAGGAGATGCTAGTGCCTACCACCAGCAGTAGACAGTACTGTCCCACCACTGTCCTCTTCACCAAACCCACGTCTGGTCTCTCGTACTTGGGAGCAACCCAAAATGAGTAATATTGGCCAAACTCAGCCAGAGAAGGGGCCTTGTCTAGGTAATCCCTTGCACCCATAGAGGTAGCAGTTTTGAATCCAAGCAGCCTTACTTGCAAGCTGTACAGAAAACTCCTGAGAGGTGTTGGTCACAAACCACTGGCCCAACTGAACTGTAGCTAAGCTGATAAGGCATGAACAAGTAAGCAGTGTTCTGAGGTGCATTCTGAAAAACCTCTGCTGTGGAATCAGCATACAGGAATTTTTTTTCCATAAGACAGCAAAACTTGCAGCCTTTGCCTCAGTGCCTTGAGGGCCACAAGTAACAGCCTGACAGTTCTCTTTCCAAATACGTCTGCGATAATGTATTTTCTGTTCTCTGTTTTCCTTTTTCATTTTCCTTTCCAATCAGCCTTCCTTTGGGAATCTTTTTATATCACGTGGCAGCAGCCTCTGCTGAGAGGTATTGCTTCCAGCTCTGGTGCTTGTCAGTACCTGACCTGGCTTTGGCAGCATCTGCTGACAGAACCAGCCCAGAGGTGACGTATTTCCCCTCTTGCAGCCATCGATTATACTCTGGTATAAAATAGCAAACCACAAATTTAGCATGGTCTCTGGGCAAACTTGGTGGCCCAACTTACACTTTGATTGAGAGTCCAGGAGGTGTGGATGCATTTCTTTATTGCAATAGTGCATGCTGGCGTAGTGCTGCTTAGCAAAATGGGACCCAGGCTGTTTACCTGTATAGTTTATTCTAGTAGCTTTGGGCCACTCTCCCATAGCTGCAGGCCTGTTGAAATCAGCGGAATTACATTTTGAGTCAACTTAGCCTTATGATCTGTAACAATTACAACAAATTTTCTTTTGCCTATAAAAGTGTTCCATTAGTCTACTACTCCAGTGTTAAAGTGAATTCAGTAGGACTCCGTGTTCCTCTGAATTATTTGGGCTAGTTCATATAAAATATGATGGACTACCGAACCTATTACCCAATAACATTCTCTTCTGTGGCATTTTTGCTCTTCGGCACCTGTCCTGCTCTGCAGTTATGTTCTGATTGAGATAAATTCTGAATGGGGTTATTGAGGTGCGGTGGGGGGGGATCCGTCTCAAACAGCTTTAATGGTTAACTTGTAGTCTTGTGCTCTTATTGCTGGAAATATTCACTGTAGTAATGCTAATAACATACCTAATTTCAGCTCGCTGGCCCGTGCATTGCAGCCGTCCATTTTAATGCTGCTGAAGCTTTCGAATGGGGAAGCTCATCGTTTTGAAGTAAGTGTCGTTAACCTAATGGATTAAAAAAAAAACAACTTCTACTTTCTCTCTAGAAAGCTGAATTGCTGTTAAAAATGTTGAACTCTTCATAAACAAAGCATTGTTGTGAGTTTGTTTTCTTCAGGATATTCTGAGTTCACTACAGTACACACAGCATATAACAAAACACAAGCCAAAATTATTTCATGTCATGTTTTTTGGGCATGGCTTTTAAACTTAAATTGTTGAAAGAATATCAATCACCCTAGTGCACTATTGTATATGTGATGTGATTAAATCTTTATGGTTTTATTATCAACTTTAACCTTCAGACATGATGATTGTTTTTGAGAGCTGGAAAATTACTGAGGTAGTTTTATATATAACACTTGATGCAGTACTGACCATGCTACCTGCTACCATGCCTGTTTCCCTTTTATGGCAAAGGTAGCCTTATTTTTTTGCTCTGTAGTGCACATCCTGCTACTGGAAAGCCACAAGAAAACTGAAGCCTTTTTACTTCAGCTGATACAGTGGCAGTATCTGACCTTTGTATATAATGTCTTGCCTGAAAAATGCCATGAGTTTGTCCATTTTTTTTACCTTTGAAATAGAAAGCTACATGCTCTGTAAATAACACGGGTACACAATAGTTCAGCATTTTCCAGGCAAAAATGCATTGTTACATTTGAACTATTCAGAGCTTTTGGCATTAGTCCATACATTAGTAGTAAGTTGGAGGAAGAGGAAATGCTCCAGGTAGTGGATTAAATGTGTGGATTTTACTGGGTTTAGAAGAAAAACTGTTTTGCAGAAAAGGCTGTAACATAAAACTGCTTGGAAAGGCAGAACTATTGCTAAACTGGGAAGCACTAAGGATGTCTTTTCACAGAGGATGAAAGTTTACCCCCATTCAGAAGGCCCAGAGAGAGAGTCCTGAACTCTCAGAAGAGGGTTTGCCCAGGACTTAAGTGGAGCATGGACTTTGAAGAGACCCTCTGTGCAGGGTTGAATGTCCTCCTACCAGAATAAATGAGCAGGCCTAAACCTTACCGGTTCTGTCTTTCTTCAGTTCCTGGGCTTGGACCTGCATCTGGAGCTGATACTAGACGTCAAAAGGGGCTGTTGCAAATACAGCGCCTTGTACTTCTTTAAGAATAGTGGCCTCCTGTAGAGGAAATTAGATCTGCTACCAGCTGTGCCCTGGGTGTGCAGATTGCTGGGCTCACTTATCTCATTTTGAATCCTGTCCTACCTGCTGCTACCTGTGGAACTGGCTGCATCTGGCATTTCTGTAACTGGCCGAAGTCCTCCAGCACAGGGTACCATATCTGTGTGTCAGGTCGTGTCTTGGATCAAAGTACTGCCTTTCAAGCAGGCAAATAAATCTTAGTCACCCAAGCAAACTGGCTATGAATGTCCTGCTTATGGAAGCTTTTTTTTTTTTTGGACTGGAGTATCAAGACAGTTCATTTTAGGGATTATTACACCCAGGACTGGTGTCTTAAAATCTGCATGTCTCATGTTGGATGCAAACAGAAGTCACGAGCCCTTTGGTCCGTTGACCTGTCTATCAAGTCACATCTGTTGACACCAAGAGATTCAGTAAAGCTGCAGGGGCTGCAGAATTTTGCACTTGTGGTTGAAGTGGAAAGAATGTCACACTTTTACAATCAGGCTGCATGAGAGTCATAAATTAGGTGTCAGATTCCTCTCCCTCCTTTGGTGTCCACGCCAAGCCTGCAAAAGCATGACAGGGGAGACTCCATGCATAGAAGGAACTCTTCTTAGTCATGACTGTCTGGGTGGGGGGATGGCAGAAAGGCAGGAAGGTGTTGCTTGTGATGCTGTTATGAAAGTTGTTGGCCGCTTACATGTTCATTTACTTATGTAATTTCTTCTGGATATAATGAGTAAAATTGCAGTATCTGAAAGTTCTTGAATTCCCACCTTTAATTCAGGTGCACCTCAGTGCAAGGATGTTTTCTTTGGTAGTATTTTTAGACCTAAAAAGTATAACATCTTCTGTTCATAGCTAGCTTCTATGTTAGTGCACACTTGCAGTGGTCAAAAAAGCAATTCTGAAGGGGCATATTTCACCAGAAATTTTCCATCTGACCATTTTGTTGAATGGTGTTTCTGTACTGTACCATCCTGGGTGGTGTTTGGGAGTGCTTTGCCTTGCCAAGTGCTTAAACAAGAATTTGTCCTAGTACTGGGTAGCCATGTCCACATTTCACTGTAGTGTACTCATTAGCCCATGGGTTTCGTTACATGTCCGCGCTGGATGACGTATGTGCTGACAATTCGTGGCAGCCAGGCACCACTTCTGGATTTGGCTCTGAAGCTTCTCTCTTGGTTGAGATAACCTGGGCATATTAGTCTCCTCTCATGTTTGCCATGAGTCTGGCAGGGAGGAGAGTACAGTGATGGGTAGATCAGTCCTCTAGGCAGAGCTGGGTTATCGTGAAGAGACCTGTGCAGTGTTTCCTGTTGCTCTAATCCCAAAGGCTGGCCTCTTTCCAAGGTTTCCTCTTCTTTGCACCTGCCGTGGCTAATCATAGCTGTCCTTAAGTTGCTCTGATTTTGCTGTGATGTTGCAACTGCCTCAATTTTCCCATGCTATGCTCTATAGAAATGCCCCATGCTTGCTTTCCAAGTATTCTGCCCCTGCACACCAAGGCAATAGTGCTTGGCTCATGGTTGGTCATTTTTTCAGTTGTGGATGCGCTAGGGTAAGGATTGTTATCCACTGAATAAATTAAGTGAGATACAGAGAGCTTTGGTTCATGCAGAAAGTCAGTGGCAAAGCTGGAACCAAAACTCAGGTCTCCCGAACTTGGAATTCTTAGACTTGTACAATTCTTGAAGTCCTGTAACTTATCAACAGGACCCACGCCATCATTTGAATAGGTCCTATGCTTGACCGCACTGATTTCTCTAAGCTGCTGATGAAGGCACAGGCCAGGGTGGGAGCTACCTTTCTTTTTCTTTACCGCTTAAAATTAGCAAAGTTCCAGCCTTAAGCCGGTAAGAGCACCCAATGTTCTCTATGCAGAGAAGATGCATTGGGCAAAATGCCCTTCCAGACTTCCACGCTTTGGTAGTGGACTTGGCAGGAGATGGGCTTACCCTGCCTGGGTCATGGACAGGACACAACTGTCCTTTTATTTAGCAGCAAGAGCACAAACCCTTCTTTTCAGTTCAGAGATTAGAAAGCCAGAAGGGACTTGTGATTATGCAGTCACACAAGTTATAAGCTGTTCCTAAGTTAATTCCCGTTTGACCAGGAGTGTATCGTAGAAAAACATTCAGCCTTGACTTAAACAGTTCCAGTGATGATGTATCCATCTCAACCGTTAGTAAGCTGCAAAGATTAATCATACGTGCTGTTAAACCTCTGCTTTTTTTATCTGAATTTGTCTAGCTTCAATTTCCTGCCACGGTGTCTTGTCACACCTTTGTCTGCTCGGATTGAGCCCTCAGCTATTAATGATTGCTGTAATCTGTGCCGATATGCACCTTCACTACTGGATCTTGTCCAGAAGGCCCCCTGGCTCCCACTTCGGTCCACCTCTAGCCAGGCACAAAACTGTCTTGTCCTTCAGAGTCCAGAGCCTACTGCCATGCCACCTGTTTCACTTCCCCTCTCTTGTCCTTCCAGCCAATTGTTTTCTTCCAGGCTTCCAGCGTGTTGAAGAGGCTTCTGCTCTCCTGTTGCCTGGCATGTGGACGCGTATCACCTGTGCACTAGGAGCAGCTGGGGAACTTTGGTCCCAGCATTTCAGGTCCTTTTAGATTATCCTCTGCAGAATGCGGATGCTGCCCTTCAGATCTGCAGCCCCTGTCTTGTACATTGTGTTTAGGCAAACAGCCTCACTGTCGTTTCACTTTTCCTTTAGTGTAGCTTGTTTTGGGAACTTTCTTTGCTATGAGTCATTGCTTGCGTGCATTTCTTGATGCTGTCTGGAGAAATTCTTCAGCTGTGCCAAAAAGAAGAGGGAGCCCCCCACTTGCTGCAGGATTTTCCACCTCCTACAGCAAAATTCCCATGGTTGGCTTGACACTTAATGTTTTTCACCAGCTGTTTTTCCTCTCTGCACTGTGCGTAATAGCAGTGGTGTTGTTGAGAGGGGAGAGCGTAAGAACCACAGCAGCACCCTGACTCCCACCCTCTTCCCAAATCAGTTCTCAGACTCCTTTCTGTACTATCACTCCCCTTGTCTTGTTCCTTTCCTTTATCCATTTTCTTTGCTTTCCAGCCATGTGTGGTCCCTTGGAATAATAGGAAGCTGTGATTTGTTCCATTTTTGGGAATATGTTGCATTCACTATGAGCCTGATGGTGTTTTTCCCCTCTCCCCAGTTGCCACAGAGCATTTGGTAAATGCATATTTGAACATGCAGATGTTATGTAGAATTGTATTAGTCTCCGATCCTTTGCTTAAAACCTGCAAAACTGCAGTTTCAAAGTGTATATTAGACTGATGTTCTAGAATATTTTTATATCCATATGCATGTCTTAACCAGATGAATTACAAATCTAATATAAATCTTCTGTTTCAGGTGCCGGTTGCGAAGTTTCAAGAATTACGGTATAACATTGCTCTAATACTGAAAGAAATGAATGATTTGGAGAAAAGAAGTGTTCTGAAAATCCAGGACTGAACCTTTCAGCTGGTGAATGAACAGAGCAGGTCTGAAACCCTTAACGAGAGAATTGTGAATTGCAAAATGAAGAACCAGCACCATTTTGCATGTCTGTATTGTAACATTAACATTTCTAACGTTGCTGTAAATATTTTTCAATTAAAGTGTTAAAAGCCTAAGCTATTGTCTCAGGATTTATTCTTTTTCAGAAATAAATATACAAAGTAATATAATCCCTGTTTGTGAGGACTTTTGCATGATTCATCAAAACATTTTTTAAATAACTGTCTTAAGAGATGTAAGAACCATTTCTTCATGATTATGATTCATCGCTCTAATTATTTTAGAAAGCTTGCTACCGGAAAGCTTCATCAATATGTATCATAAGAAAAGCTTTGCAACATCCCAAATTAAAAAATGGAAAAAAAAAACTCTAGCTGAAAACTAGCATGACAAATATGCAATTGACGGTTCCATATTAGTCAGCTTGCTGTTTGTGTTCTCAGAATACATGCATGCTCCATAAATGACTGAGAGGCAAACCATCTTAAAGGGTAATTTAAAGACAACTGGGAATCTGTGGAGAAATAGAGAAGAAATCCTGGTGCATGGGAGTGCAAGAAGCCTGTGAGAGCTTTCAGTTGGTGGTTGGAGGTGACCAAAGGGGGTAGTAACTTGGTGGATTTCCAAGCGGGAATTTATGTTGCTTGTTTCACATTGTCCTACCCCTCTCAGTCGGGTAGTGCACAGCACCAAGGATGAAAGTTGGCAGTACAGTAGTGCCTCAGATCCTGATTTAACACATAAGGACTTCGCACAGCATGTGTGTAAATCCCCTTTGGACTCAGAAGAAGCATAAACATGTACGTAAGGGTTTTCCTGAATGTACGTAACGGTTTTCCCAACTCTGGTCAAGTGAGCTATGCTACTGGGGAGGGTATGGAGGCTGGGCAGCAGCATGAAGACATTATCACCCATAGGCTGTGGATGGGATTTATCAACCTGTCAAAGTCCTTTTGTGCAGCATTTATCATAGTTTTTAGGCACTAGCTTGAGTTAGCTGCCTACTGACCTTGTCGCTCAGCAGTGCCATCCATTCTTCTCTGACCCTTTTGTATGATTGCAAGCGTCTCCCTTATCCCCCTCACTCCCTACAGAGATATGTAGAATGCAGCTGAAATTAAACTCATGGCACTTCAAGAAGGCCTTTTTCCCTCCCACAGGTGTTTTGTGTAGGAGGGGAATGATTTGGCTCTTGGTTTTTCAAGAATGACAATAGGTATAAAAAGACACTTAGTGTGGTGTTGGATTTGCTTCAGACTGCAGTATTATTTTAGACAGCGTGACTTTCTGCTGAAATGAATCAAAGCATCTGAAGATGTCAGGATAACACTTTGTTATCAAAAGCAGGACACAGCACAGTTTGTTTCTCTCACGAAAGGAAATGCATGCGTTTCTCCAGTTCTGATAACTGCTAAAGGTCTGATTGAGGCATTTCGTGGGTGGATGGGTGGGAAGCTCATTGTGCTCTGAGGATGCCTATGTTTGAGCAGGATGTGTAGTTGTTTGCGCAACCTATTTCTATGACAAATATAATTACCATGGTCAATTTATCACACTGTTGTGAGCTCTTCTTCCAAAATGGCCAGTGTGGTTTTTTTCCCCCCTGCTGGATGCCACAGGATTCTAAAAGAATAATTTTCTAGAAGCTGCTGTCTGTCTCTAATCCTCTCTCATATGAAAAATGCATTTGCTTCCCTGGGACATGACATTTTCTGTAGGATAAGGTGCTTCTTAAAGTCTTGTGCCTGTGATGTGCAAGAAATCTCAGAAAATTGATAGCAAGTTTTTCCTACCTTATGGTAGATAGGAATTCAGTTCAGGCTGTGAGTGTACAAACAGTAGTCATAGGCAGCAGGTTTGTTCCAGCTTTTCCATTGCAAATAATTTGTTAGTACTTACCCTTCACCTGATCATCTCAAACTGCTGCAAATCAGGCATGTGTCACAGGGTATTTGGCTTTAGGCTCATTTGTCAGATGAGTAGATTGTACAATGGAGAGACATTAACCATTGTGGGCAGGCAAGTTGTGGGCAGGACTGAGACTACATCCAAGTCCCGAATCTTGATCCTACACACCAATATCAGATGACAGTTCTTAAGTTTAGATCCTCCACTCTTTGTTTTCTTCCAGGCTAAGCCATCGGTAGCATCTCAATCAGCACAGAACAGTTTTCTTTCCAACTGGCTGGTGGGACAACTTGTAATGACTGCCTGTCTCAGCTGGTGGTTGATGCTTTTGAAGAATGTCCGAGTGGAGAAAATGTACCTTTCAGGAAGAAATTTGTTTGAGGAAATGAATCCCAATGCTCTTAACCTTCTGAATCCCAATGTTGTTAGTAAGAGTCCAGAAAAAATGTACTGCAAATACATGAAATTTAAACACCCAGTTGTGCTGTTATTTGCCAAGCAGATCAATCGATCATGACTTCGTCATAAAGAAGTTGTATCTTCCACCTGTTATGTCCTGCCTTTATCCACTTAGGATCCAACTCTTCTGAATCTTGAACAGATACCATATCAGCTCCTCACCAGAACTATTATAGCCTTTGGATCAGGCCAAGACAGGTAAGGCCAGATACTGAAATGTATAGAGAGGCTGTGTCTGTGTGTGAGAGAAGCCTGACCCCCTAAGGCTTGGAGTGGAGAAGTGGAGGTTGGGGATAGGGGGTATAGATTTGATGTCTCATAAATTTGATCTGCCCCTTGGCTCTGCAGTTTAAGATTGTTAGTGGAATTATTTTATTACATCTCAAACAAAAACAGACTTCTACAATCCCTTCATACTTTTTCCCTCTGGGTTTTAGATACAAATGCCTTCTAAACTGGAAACCTTTTTCAACTGAGCTCATTAGCAAAGTCCTTTTCAATACCCATGTCATATGTTTACAAGACTGTAGTACAAAATGTTATTCTACAACTGTTCAAGACATTTGCAGAGTGTTTTCCAGTGGCCAGAATCAGGATCCAAAGCATGTCAGTTCTTTCTCTACTAAATTCCTTTGTTAGCAGTGTTCTGACAGCTGCAGCATACCATGCTTTGATCCAAAGATTAGTCCTAATTTGGGGTTGAGGCCTTGTCCCATGGACCTCCTGTTCAGTAGAAAGCAGTAATCATTGCTTATGGATGAGAAGCTGCCTCTCTTTTATCAAAACTATGTTGCAATAATTGCATTCAAACTTAATTACCTTGTCGCATATGACTCTCCTGGACTTGATATCATCTTTGTCTCATCCACAGGTAACGGGGGATGCTCAGTGGAACACTATAAACCTTATTCTGAATTCTGATTTTACTTGCATGTTCACAAGCCATTTTTTGTTCACCCTGTCCAATGACATGAAATATGCTGAAGTCCTCATTCAAGAATGAGAAGTAGTCGGCCAGGTCTGCCCACTCACGTTAGTTCCTAACCTGCATACAGGACCTGCACCTAACACAGGAGGTATGCAGTCCCACTAAGGGAAATGCCTTACTCGACTTGGTGCTGACCACAGGGGAGGACTTGGTGGGGGATCTGCAGGTACAAGGTAACCTAGGAGATAGTGACCACCTGTTGATAGGATTCACTATCCGGCGAAAGGTTGGGAAAGATAACTAGTAGGGCGGAAGTGCTAGACTTCCAGAAGGCCAACTTCAACAAGCTTAGGAGATTACTTAGAGTGGGACTGCGGGGTAATCACATCAGTGAGTTGGGAGTCCGGGAAGGGTGGGAGTTCCTCAAGGCACAAAGGGGTACCATCCCAGTACACACACAGGGAGGCAAAAGAGCCAAGAAACCCTCTTGGCTGAGCAGGGAAATCCAGGAGAGCATGCAGGGGAAAAGAGAAGCTTACAGGCTGTGGAAGCAGGGGGCAGCCACCAGGGAGGAGTATACCTGTTTTACTCATGCTTGCAAGGAAGTGGTGAGGAAGGCCAAAGCAGAAATGGAACTCAGGCTGGCAAAAAAGATTAAAGGTAACACAAAGTCCTCCTTTAAGTACATAGGAAGCAAGAAGAAGGTGCAGGATAACACAGGACTGCTACAGGATGGACTAGGGCAACTCATAACATAGGATGGACACACATAGGATGGACAAAGTTTCGTTCTTAAAGAATTTCTTTGCATCTGTGTTCCTGGACACAGATACAAACACACCTCCCAATGATACTTTAGTTTGGCTTTAGAAAGATGCCAATCCACCAGTGATTAGCACTGACCTGGTGAAGGGGCACTTGGAGGGGCTTGAACTATTTAAGTTGGCAGGCCCCGATGATCTTCACCCAAGGGTACTAAAGGAATTGGCCAGTGTCATAGCGAAACCACTGGCGCAACTGTTTGTGTGCTCGTGGCACTCAGGACAGGTCCCAGAAGACTGGAAAAGGGCTACTGTGGTCCTTATTTTCAAGAAGGGGAGGAAGGAGAACCTGGGTAATTACAGGCCAGGTAGCCTCACCTCCATTCTTGGCAAGACCTTAGAAAAAATCATTAAGGATCACA